ACACTCTCCAGCTCCTTTGGGAGCTTTCCTGGTTTTCAGTCTATCACATCTATTCACCACCGTTCACAGGCATCATGTGGAGTCTGTCGTTTTCCTTCCTCCTCATTATCTTTACACTTAAAAATGCCATGCTCTCATTCTTCCAAGCACTTCACGTTACTGCGGTCCTGCCTGTCCGAGCTGCGTCGTTTTCTGTCGGTGCTTTGCAGAATTTCCCCTCTCCGTTTGTTTCTCGGTTTTACTGGAACATTGTACTCTGCCGATAAAGGATACGGAGTCTCACAAATTGTAGCAGTTCATGCCTTGCTGCTTCTGATGTGTGTCCAGCTCAGTTCTAATTGCAGAATCGCACAGTTTCCTCTCCTTGGCATCCTTTGGAGCGGCATAGACCTGGATCACAGTGGAGTTAAAAGGCTGTCTTCCCGAACAAGTCATGATGATAATTAAGTTGCCTGGGTTGTAGCCAAGTGGTGCTTTTCTGTCCCTATCACTTAGGATTGTGCCAATTCCTCTTTTATGCTTTATTTTGTCATGTGAGAAAATGATCTTGCTATCTGCTGTCTCTCCCTTGCCTGGCCACCTGGCTTTTAAGAGGCCTTCTATGTCATGTCGCTACCTTTGTAATTCATTCATTAGCAAGGATATTTCACCAGGGTGCCAACACGGTCTTACATTCCAGGTTCTGTTAGAACTAGAGAGGGGAGGTGATTTTTACCTCTTAGACATGCTGATAATAAAATACTACATATAGTTCTGGCTTCCACACTTGAAAAAGGATGCGGGAAAATTTCACTGGATCAGAAAAGTTACAAAAAGTCATTTGAGGGCTGTGGGAGATGTGTTCCAAGGAAATGTATAGGAAGCTGAAAGTGTTTAGCATATCAAAAGGAAGATCAAGAAGAGATACGATTATGGTATATGAGTACCTTCACTAGAAGAAAATGCGGGGCACTAAAGGCTTTTTCAACTGAATAAAGAAAAACATAAAAGGAACCAAAGGCCAGATATATTCAAATTAAAAATAAATCAGAAATGTATTTCTAACAGTTTGGGCGATTAACACACTGAACACTGTTTCAGAGAAGTGGTGGATTCCCCCTGAATCTTCAAATCTTCCTCCACGGGAGCCATACCGTTTCTGTGGCAACTTATCTGCGATGCTTTGGCAGATGAGCTTGAGGCACTTGCATGGTATTTCTCTCTTCTGATCTCTCAAGGTCTGAAAATCCAGGTCCACCCAGTGCCTGATAACGTTCACGTGCAGAGCTAGCTGATCTAGGGGGACGTGCCTCTGTGCCTCTTCTTGAGGGGCTGGCCAGCCAGTGGGATCGTTCTGATGCCCCTGGCCACCACGTTCAGTGCTGACAGAGGTGTGCACTGAGGGGACCATACAACATGGAGCAGCAGAGCAATGCAAAATACTCAAACTGCCCTAGAAACTAAAATTCCCTGAAATGTGGTCTATAGCCATGCTTGAAAATCTGTCTGTGGAGTTAATGGCTATTTTTGCCATAATTCCTCACGCTGACCTCTTCGCAGGTGGAGAACTCTTTTTTTCACTTACGGCATGTAAATGGCAATTCTGTAAGAAACTGAATTGTCAAAAATTACTATCATCTCCTGCTTTCAATGTGACAGCCGCCGGTCGTATGCAACTTATGGCTGTAATTTCTCTCAGTCCTCAATTTGAGAATGCAAGATAAAAATTTCTGCCACTATGGTGCTCGTTCTGCACCACTTTCTGGTAACATTCAAGTTCACCTTCATCCTCAAAGCATCTTTGTTCTCCATGGAAACAGTTATAGGTGGCAAGCATCTTTTAAGAGAACATCTTAACTGATGTAAAAGTCAGCATCGCTAAAGCTTTAAAGCTTGGAATAGTTGTATGTACTCTCAGTAAACTGTAAAGGGACATTGTCAACTTGAACTTTCCAAAGCTATTTATCTTTAGAAGTATTTTGTTAACTTCAGTGCTTGTAAGGAAATCTAATCCAAAAAGGAGTTTTGTGGATTTCCTACCGATGTCTGTAAAGATTCTTCTAGGATAGGGTTAATGCTTAGGTGATACCTTAATAAAACCGGGCTGCCTTCACTCTTTTGGTCGCTTGCAAAGAATGGGTGAGAGCACAGTAGATGTAACAAAATACAGTTTGTTTTCTTTTGTAGGAAAATTTGGTATGAGAGCGAACAAAGTTGATTGTTTTTTTTTCATTAAAAACTCAACTACTAATAGAAAAAAATTGCAATTTTTTGTATAGTGTCTGTAAATTGGTAAGTCTCATCTTTTGACCAAAGCTCATGTGCTGCCAATGCACACGCCCTGTGCTGAATGCTCCTTGAGCCTTGGCGCCTTCCAGTTAGACATATGAGCTTCTTCTCCTGCAAGGCCATGGGAGGGGACCTGGCACAGAGTGAGAAGTGTGCTTTCACCTGACTGCGTGCGCATGGAGATACTCTGAACCTAGATTTCCATAAAGCAAAATGATGACGTAGAATCATAGAATGGTTTGGGTTGGAAGGGACCTCAGAGATCATCTAGTCCAACCCCCCTGCCATGGGCAGGGACATCTTCCTTATGGAATAACCCTGATTTTTTATCGCATTATCTGAAGGCCCTTCAGAGAATATTTTCCCTGTAAAATGGTTAAGACTTTCGCTGGAAAAAGCTTCCAGTTTACTCCCTATCTCTTGTATGATTTTAGGAAATAAAAAGCCGGTGACGGGCTGTTCAAGCAGACAATAGAGACATATTTCTCAGGTGATCTGTGCTAGATGTGGTATTTAGGAACATTTGATAGCTGTAGGAAAGGTGCACAGGTGAAATTGAATTGTCAGTTGCTTCTTTTAGCCTAAATAAAAAATGTCATGGACTGCTTATGTCACAAAAGTGCTGTAACTTCGAGAAGTGAGAACTGGGAGCTTGTAGCTCTGATGTAAACTCTGTAATTTTACAGTCAGTGCAGTCTTCTGATACGTTTAAGGGTGTTTTTGTTCCAGTGAGGGTAGCTTTTGTTGCCTATTTTTGAGTGAGAGGTGGATTATTTCTGCTTTACTTGTGTCATAATGACTTTCTGATTCCTTTACTGACTTTAAGAGAGTTTAGAGTGGTTCTTTGAATGATTATTGATTAAAGTCGCAATATTGTTGCAGAGACGTATTTTTGAGGGGTATCTGTTTTGAAATAAATTATAAAAAAATATTTAGCACCAGGGGCACCTTAACCTACTCTAGCTTTGAAGGATTGATTACAATATTTGTTATGTTAAGGACGTCTTTATACTCCTCCCTGCAGCCTAAATAAAAGTTTGACAGCCTATGTACATGTACAAAACTCGTATTGACCATCAGCCCGCACTGACAGCAACAGCGTTAGTCTTTCCGTATTGTTAATTTCATTTCTCACTTCTTATCATCCAAAGAGTTCAAAATAAAAGGTAAACATTAAGCTCAGAATGCTATGTCAGTTAGAAATCTTTTTCATTGTAAAATAATTGAACCTTGTTACTGTATGAGCTTTGCAGTAGTTTAATTTTGACAGCTGCACAACAGACAGTAAATGTTTGAAAAAAGAAGAAGGAAATTTTCCTGTAGCAAATCTAATCTGCCTGTGGTAACACAGCGCTCATTTTATGAGGCCACATTTATTCTCATAATTGGCTATTTCCTGTCCTTAAATGTCTATTTATTCATGTCCGCCACCTTCTTCTCAGTTTATTGGCCCTGCGGTCACCACATTATCTTCCTCTTCAAAATCAATTGACATTTTATGAAAAGAGTTTGCTAGATGTGTAGTTTAGTGAGAGTGGCATACAGAACACGAGCTTGTCGCATTAAATAATCACCGTTAAAAGGAGAGTATTCAGTGGCTCACCTATATAGAGAATATATTGGTTTATTTCAATGTTATTATTGTTTTTCATTTAGAGAAAGGAACTGACAAAACATTACCCAGGGATGCTGTAAGTAGAGATATTCCAAATAGTACTTTTTCACAGAAATTCCGGTGCAGTGCAAGCTGGCATTACATTTGACGCAGACGTTGAATTTTGGGACGTGCTCAGAGTTGCAATCTAGGAAAGTTGAAACTTGTGAATTATACAGATTAAAACATTAAAACTTCTAAGCTGTGCACAGACTAATTACTAACCCTAAGGTGTTCTTGTTTTAATTAAAAGCTTATGGTCAGCTCCTTGCTAGCTCTTTGCTAGCAGGGATACTGTTTTTTCCTTCCGTGCTCTTTATTTTTAAAGACATTGCAATGCTCTTTCTGCTGTCTGGCACGTATGGAGCTGTTCTTCATTAGTTCAGTGTACAGTGCAGCCAGGGTTATTCAGAAGGGGATCAAGCAGGGCTGATGGGCTTCAGCCAATCGGCACAGTTATGAGCAGTCCCTGCTCATTACAACGTCAGACGTCTTATTATACAAGGAGTTGTGGCATCAGATTTTATCCTGGATGCCTGGATGAAGCTCTGACCCTGAGACATGCACAGCTTACTGCAAGAGAGCTGAGCCTTTTGGGTGGTGCTGGAGTCATGTTTTTCTATGCTCAGTTGTGCTAACTCCATCACAATTAATTAAGTCCACACAGGTTTCTTTTTTTTTTTTTTTAAGAGAGGATTTTTGCTGTTGTGAGATGAATGGTATCAAAAATGATCACATCAAAACTTAAGTTTATACAAGAGGCATAATTAAAAAGTGCAGTTTGTATCTGAAGCTGAATTTTTACAAGTTCAAGTAAGACGTATTGGCTAACCTTGTTTCTAGTGTCCATATGTTCTTTTTAGCATTGATCGTTCACATGCAAAACAGGTTGTAGCTTCAAAATAAAAGATGAAACAGTCAAGCAAGTGGCATGGGTTGAAGTTGAGGAGAAATCCTTCCAGAAGCTGGGAAGGAATTTCTACTGATTTTGGTTTTGCTCCAGCTGAATGCAAGTGAGTCAATGTGCTCGTTTGATGGGAAGAAAAACCGTGTGCTGATGGAGATCATTTGTTTCTAGGTGCCAGGTTGACCTGTCAACTCTGAGTAAAGAACAAACCCACAAGTTGGAGATGCCACTGGAGGAGGGAGAGGGATACCTGGTGTTGCTGGTCACCCTCACAGCCTCAGCTGCAGTCACTATCTCTGACCTCTCTGTCAACTTGCTGGAGGACCAGAAGGAGCGAGAGGAGATACTGAAGAGATATGTATGGAGTTCTCTTTTGCCCTTTGTCTGCAAAATGTTTGCTTATAGAAATAATAAATATTGGGGGGGGGGGTGTGTGGAATCTAAATATATCCCATATAGCCTTATCACATGCAACCAATGACAATTATTTAAACTTGCTACTGATCTTATCACAGTTGATAGGGGTAACATCACGATACGGCTACAAATCCTCTTTGTACAATAAGGTATTTTCCACACTGTAATTCTGTGATTCGATTTGATCATGTGACATAAAAAAGTAAATTTTACTGCCTTGCAGATAATTTTTACCAAGCATGACATAATAAGGGGTAACTTAGTGACTGTACAGTTTATAGTGAGTGTTTATGCCAAACGGTTGAAGGTGCCTAGAGTTTTTGGCTTTTTTTGACCATCTATAAAGAAAGCAAGAAACCTTATTTTTTGCCTGCACATTAGAGGCTGGGGCAGTGTTTTGTATCATCAAAATATGTGTTTTAAGCAACATTACCATTTCAAAATATTCTGAAGCAAATTATTTTCATTTCCCAGCATCCTCATATAACACAAAACCTCTGTAGTTTTATCAAAGCAACAGAGAGGGGAGCTCTTACTCCAGCATTTGCTAGTACTTAAATCACTAAAAGTAACTGTCTCACTACACACAGAGAAAGGGAGGGGGAAAAAAAAAAAGCTATTTCCACTTAAAATTACAAAGCTTTTATTGTACAATGCTGCCAGGTGTTTAGAAAGGCTTCTCTAGACACTCACCCATTAAACCAAGCTCTAACTAACAAAGAGCCGCTTAATTTTTTTTTTAGATTTTAAAATATTCCTATTCCATGACTGACATCCTTTCAATAACTGAATTTAATAAAGATGTACCTTATCAGGCTGTGCAGATAACATGAAGTGCTAGTACTAATGCCGTACAATATTCTTCAAACAGATTAGCAGGTTGTGCGCTTCAGCAAATTTATTCTGGCTATCTCCACTGAATCAGCTGTCTGCTAATGCTTGTACAACTTATACACCAATAGTGTTATCATAAACACAGTTTAATAGAGGTGACTTAGTGAGGCTAAACATAATATTCCTAAACCAACCGAGAGCTAAGGTATTGTGCACCATCTTTGAAAAATAATTACAATTAAAAGAGTTGTTGCACATTTTGGAATCCAGTCAGACAGTCTGTGGTTGTCAGAATAGATCTTTATAAATATAATAAATTTCTGATGGATACATTTTTGAGGTGACATACTTCTTGCTACCAAGTGCAACAATACCGTATTTCTGTGGATTATTGTGTGTAATGATATGGCTGTCAAGTGATACTGATGGTTTAGATAATTTAGTAGCAGTATCGAAACATGTTACGAGTGTGTATTATTAATCCGTGTTCCTTAATTCTCAATTTTTGGTCCCCAGTGTAAAGCATAATTATGTGGTGTAAGATTGATCTGTATATTCCGTTTCTTACATATTCATGGATATGAGTCTTTTCTTATATTTACATTACTGAATGCACTTGAAAACATTTATATTTTTGGAAGATTCTCATATCGCAGAGGCATGAATTTCTCATTATATGTTTTTGAAAATTGTTACATCGATATGCCTTTTTGCTAAATGTTACTATTTTTGTTAAAATGACTGGTGGACAGCAGAAGGAGGAAATGACAAGGATTAGCAGAATTCAGATAGTTTATTTTCACTGATGTTTGATTTGTCTTTGATATTCTTGTCTCTACTTCAGAACCGATACAAAGAAAGAGTACGCAATTAGCAGGATGTACTGTTCCCTGTGGAGTGGCTGTGTTTTGGGGTTTATTTTTCGTCCTCAAAAAATCTAGCTTCCAATTGAGAAATGTATTTTGCACCCTTTCGGCAGCCAAAAACAGTTAATGAGCTGACCTTGCCATCAGATCAAATAGCCTTGGAAAATGACTCTATTACTGTCATTTAACCATTTGTAGCTGAACATCAGAGCCTTACAAATTAAACAGGCATTACTGTTTGAACCATTATTTTACCACAATTGTCTGAAAAGATTAATTCCTTTTGGGGTGAGGAGGGGGGCGCATTAATGGGTACAGACCAAGAGAGATTGTATGACCTTTTCAGAACGGGTGTGCTGAACCTGCGGTCCCCCTTGTCACAGTTTAAAAACCAGAGGAGCTAGTTTAGAGAAGAAGTTGTTAGCATTCCATTTTTATTATGACATTTCACAGTCATCCGATTTAATGTCCCTTGACCAGATTGTCCACCGTGAGACGATGGGCTTGAAATGTTATTTAGAGCATTGATAAAAGGTGAGCCGTTCTAAGATGACAGCGAGTCATAAGGCTGGTGGTGTGACATTAATTTTCTCCATAACAGAGATGGAATAAGACGTCATGGTGACAAGCTGTCAATCAGTACTGGCCCCTCAGTGTATCTCGATGCCATAGGATGGGGTATTGCTTCTCCCATAATAGAGCTGAACTGAGATGCTCTCCCTGACAGCTGCTGCAGCCATACAGAAAATATATTATACAGCCTTTCATTAAAAAAATAAAGAGGACTCATCTCCAGAGCATTTCAATCTTTTCCTATCTATTGAGGGCTGAAAAGATTCACAGCAAATCACGGATTCCTCTGCTATGGAAATTTCAGGCTTCGGAAACCATGTGGGTTTTGAGGCCTTCGACAATAATCATAAATAGGAAGACAGCGTATCATCTGATAAATCATTACTTAAAGTTACGTATTTAAAGTAACGTATTGAAGTCGTTTGCTTCTCCCAGAGTCTCTGCCCTGGCATTGTGTGCACGTTCAGCAGTCCCCACAGTCACGATGCGCAGTAAATGAATCCAAGCCGGCTGACTTGCTGGAACTAGAAGTTCAAAAACAATTATTCTGTGGGATGTTAACAAAGGTAGTGCAGTGCAATACAGCACTGGTGCCTTTTTGCAGAGCGAGCTTACCAGGATGAAATTTGGAAACAGGAGACTGTGCGGCCTTGCAGGAAGGGAGGCGGTCACTTGGCTGGTTCTGTGTTTGGTTTTTGCTTTGTTTTCTTTCCGAAGCTTGGCGTTTGTTTCAGTCATTGGGAAACTTGGGCAGAACGTGGGAACGTTTTTGTAAATCCTGTCACTGTCGTTGTGGTATTAGAGCAGAGTTATCTCTGTTGTGGTACCAGTTCTGATAAGAAGCTTCCAAACCGTGATTGTTATTGTAATAAAGGAGGGATGGTGCCCACATGCTTTTGACTTGTAACAGTGCGGTCTGTAATGCCGTCTCTGCCACCCTCAGCTTGTAAGCACAGAAGCAGGGGGTTGAGTGTGTGCTGATTAAAGTTGACCATCATTATTTCTAAGCCGTATTGCTGATGATTACGATATCAGAAATGATAAAAATTTGTTAACCATTATCCTGTGATAGCATGAATGCATGTATTCATGTGTAGCTTGCAGGGTGCTACACTTAACTGGATTCCTCATTTCAGTATACCAAGATCAGATCCTCACTGTAAATAGTAAATGGTCAGTTGGGGCTTCTGAAATTAATACCAGAGTGTGATTTAACTGTTAGAATTGTCTTAATAAAAAGACAGGGATGCACATTATGTGTCTAATGGACAGGCATAAACATGCTGTAGTTTTTGCAAGCTGACATTTAATATTTCATTTAAGCAGCACCTGTGGTTTTCAGATTAGTAATGTTATTTGTTCTGCTTTTACATAACAGTCGATTTTGCCTTCATAATAAGTGAAATAATTATTGACTTGGTGTTTTACCTGATGTTTGCATTTTCTAGAAATCTGGACATTATCATAAGCAAGGAAAAGGTTTCACTTGCACTGCATTAAAATTTTAGAAAAGGCCACAGGCATTAAATGCATTAGTTCAGATTTTAAAATACTTCGAAATAAAGGTATGTGCTAATATTTATGAACAAGATTGCAAAAGCAGCCAAAAATTTGGCTACATAAATGGGTGTATATATATATGATTTAAATGGATTTGCAAATCTAATTTTAGTCTCCTCTTTTGGAGTTCCTCCCCTAGGCTGTCTAAAAGCTGAATGATAATGCCAGGTTTGTTGTTAATCAATTGTGGATTCAAAGTTGCATTCGATAGTCTATCATTTGAAGTTATGCAAGTTTTAAATTATATTCGAAGTTAGATCTTGAGAATTTTGGCATATCACACTGAACTGGTGCAACACTCCCAGTTTGTTGCTTTTAGTTACTTGAAAAAAGAGCATCCACAGAATACACTTTCCAAGCAGCTTTCTAAAACTATGTTGAATGAATAAATGCAAGTGTTAGTCTACTCTTTAATTTTTTCTTCCTCTTTTTAATATATGTAGATACTGCAGAAATATGTGTTAAAAAAATAGATTTCTAGTTAAAGCTTTCTGCCATGAAATTGGAACCATCTTTTAATTCATGTTTTTAATGTTTTTTGCATGTAATTATTATGAAAACTATGAAGTTGTCATAATCCTCTTTTGAGTATTTTTGCTCATATTATTTTCAAGCTATATGCAAGCTTATGTACGGATACATGCTATATGCAAGCTTGAGTATAATGGTCAACTACAACAAAACTACTATTGGCCTGCAGTCACTGTTCAAAATATTATTGGGGCCATAAAAGGGAAAATGTGAACATGGATCTCACAAAAGTATTCAGGGAGAGGAAGTGCTTTATTGTTTGTAATAATTTCGTTAATATGCTACTATCATTTAAAATTTTCATGGACAGTTTCTGTACTATTAGGAGATTAATTCAGTAGAGTTGCTGTTATATTTAATCATTGACATTTTAATTTTTCCTTTGCATTTTTCATTGGTAAGTTATAAGTTGCAAAATACTGAAAGAAACACTGACAACATTAGACAGAATTGCACTAACATATCTGGGCTAGGGAGGAGACTATTATTATTGCTTTTGGTTTGTCTTTTTTGCAATGCAGAATTATTTTTCTTTTTATTATCTTTTAGAGTCCAATGACGATGTTCCATAACATGAAGGATGTGGGATTTCTTCAGGTGAAGGTCATCAGGGCAGAAGCACTGATGGCAGCTGATGTCACAGGCAAGGATTCATTTCATTTCTGAGCTAGTAAATACCACAGTAAAACTGGGCCTTCCTAGAAGTGGAAAAAAAAAATGTTTAAACCAAAAGTTTATCTGAAGATTATTGTCTGTTTGCATAGTCTTACCCTTCTGCTCATTAAGGAAAAAAATCCACAGACAAACAAAACTTTTGTAATCAAGGCAGCAGTTCATTCTAATGATAGCAGAGCCCTACATAGTTTATTTCTCAGAAGGGTGAAATATACGTTTTTCTCTATCAGAGGTCCTGAAAAAAATACATAGAAAAAAACCTTGTTTTTCTAATAGATAAAAATATACCAAATTATCTAAATTAAAACTGAATTCCAGAGGAGAAGGCAAATGAAAGATACTTTTTCAAAGTTGTTGCCAAAAGAACTGCTAGATATCTGCCAGATATTTAGCAAGGCTGCTTTTGGTTTCAGACATTTCAAATAAATGCAGTTTCCTGTAACTACTACTTATCTATTTAAGAAGGGAAAGAAGAAAGTCTTTTTTTATTTTCTATTTTATGTGATATAAGCTGAGTGGATAATTTAATCTTTTACTTTTCAAAATAAAGTATTTCAGCCATACTGACCATATTTCTCCAGAAATGTCCAAGTTATCTCCTTTAAGTACAATCACCTTCACACTGCACAAGTTGAATGGAGCAAAATGAGCTGCTTCTGTGTCAGAAAATAGCCATCTCTGCTTTTAAAAAAAAAAGGAAAAAAGGGAAACTATACTAATCTAGCTGTTTCAACTGCAATTTAGACATAAATGTTCTGTTACAGGAGCAGATGTGATATATAGCAACATACTTTTTAGTATTTTTTTTGTAAATTAGCATGAGTACCAGTATTTCTTTTTTTCTCAGATGAGGTAACAGAGCAAATATTTTATTGCTGAAACTGATCATCCAGTTTGTGGCACGCAAAATAACAGATTCTATTTTCAGGGAGGTTGGAGAAATGCTTCTAAAGATTCCTCACTCTGCTTTGACCTTATAATCCAATGTGGTCTGAACAGAGAGAGAGATTAAGTTATTCAGGGGCAAATGGGATAATTCAGTCCCTGACCTCGTTCAGTCTTCGACTTTTCCAGATCAACATGTCATTTGTGCTGGTTGAACAAATTTTTTGGAAATACATTTGATTCAATTAAAGATGTACAGAGCTACCAAAAATTTTCAGACATTGCGTTTATAACGACGGTCAGGACGATGAGGAACACCACTGAATACCTTCCTCTGTGCCCCACACTTTGTTCAGAAAAAACATTTATACAGCAGATAGATATGTTTTGTAAGATGGCGGTGCAGACATTACAGACATCATTGTGTATTTGGGGCAAAAATATATGGTATTTTGAAAAGTGGTCAAAGGAGTTTTATTAACTGCTGTAGTAATTTATAGCTGTTTTTAGTAACTTGTGGATGTGTATGTATCATTCACTTCAGATTAAACTTTGGTAATATTTAGAAATAACTCAAAGTAGTTACTTGGTGATTGTCAATAAATCATCTTTGCATAATTGTGTAAAACTTGACCCTCCACCTTTACTCAACTGTACAATGTTTATTAGTCAGTGTGGAGAGCGCTGTCATCAGAGATATAACTTAAACGACTAAGTATTGCTTATGTGAATAAAAGCTAAGGACTAGTTTGCTCCTCTTACTGTATCATTTTTTCAGAGTTAATCTTTTGTCCTCCCCTGAGTCTGAAAAGTAGCTGAAACACCTGTATAGTACCTGTGTGGTTTGCTCTGTTTCCTGTCTGCTGAACATATCCCATTTCACTTTCAGGAATCTTTTCATGTAAAGTAATAAATCAAGATTTATTAGTTTGAGCTGAATGGATTTTAAAAATCCTTAATATTCCGTCATTAAGCATAAGCATAGACGGAAAAAGATTTCTGTAATCTTTTAAGTAGTCATCAATCTTACTACAGTTGCAAGGATTTTTTTTTCCTTTCAAAATGTGAAATTTTTCTTTTGTTACCATACATTCATTGAGCAGCATTGTAATACTGTATTAACTCTCTGTGAATAAAGAGCAATTGAGACTCCCGTTGAATGAATGAGTAAAAAGCACAAATTACTTTTTAATGAAACCCTCAATTCTTCTCCTTTCCACAGAAAGCCCATAGCCTTGTTCAGCTGAATGCTCCTACAGTAGGTCACTTCAGTTAAGCCCCTAATAAACTGTTGATAGTCGAGGGCAGTTTTTTCTCTAGTCTCAATAGTCCGGTGTTGGACAGTGCACTTGAAATCATTAAGGTTAGTAGAGATTTTTTTTTAAAAAAAGAAGAGAGAGAGAGAGACTAAGGGTGGTGATTCAGGCTTCATACACATACGCATGTGTTGCACAAGATGCTGGGGGGTGCTGAAATTTAAGTGATGTTGTGGGCAGGGGAGCAAGTGGGCTCTATCGATTTGGAAACGGGACACTGCTCGAATGTGCCGTAACTGGGGCTGAAAAACACCCCAGAAAAGAATAAAGTGAGACTTATCCTCACTCAGCCTGCTTGCAAGGAGGTCTAGGAAAGGGAGAGCCGCTGAGGGGTTGAGCAACCTTGACTTCAGGGAGAGCTGAAAACCAGGGCATCTTCTGGGACCAGGGCCTTCATGAGAACTGCCTGGTCTGTGAAGGTGTTTTCCCCTGAAAAACAGTGTCTTTCCATGGTCAAAACACAATTTTAGGGCTTCCACCAATGCAGAATTATGATCTGTTGGAAATTGTGGTCATAACGAATACACCTTACTGGAAAATACATATGTATTTTTAATACGTGTTTTTGAAACTATATTTAACAAATGGAAAGACACTGCGTGTGTTGGTTACTTTTTCCTTCTCTTATCGAGAAGAAGATTTCATTTAAATCTTCTACTGCATTTTAGCTATTCAGTGGGAGATTGTTTTCTCCCTAAATCCTCAGCTAAAAGAACTTATACTTTCCCGTTTCCCCACATCTTTGCTCATTTGTGGTTCCTCTGGAGGAGGGGCAGACCTTCTCGAAGGAGCCCTGGCATAGCAGTGTGAGTGCCTGCAGTGACGTCCTTTTGCATGAAGAAATGTTCTGATGGTGCGAGAGAACGTACAGTGTAGTGGACTCATGACGTCAGTTGGCCTCTGAAATTAATACGTATTCTGCTCACCTAACCCAGATGGGTTTGGAAAGCAGTAGGTAGTCCCTTCATCATGACATAGTGCCGGTTTAGGCGATGGTCTGATGAGTGTGTTTCTTCTGCAGCAAAATTCAGTATAGATGGGTCATGGTAAGAAGGCTGTGGGCTTTACCAGGGCAGATGTGTTCCTCCTTTTCCCTGTACAGCAAAACAAAATTCAAAACCTCTGCCTGGTTATTGGGGAGAAGCAAGCAGGGTGGGAAAAGATGTGCCACAGGTTTGGTCAACTTTAGCAGAAGTACTATTATCTTCAGGAATAATAGTTAGCAACTCAGATTCATTAGCAGAGCAAAATCCAAGCTCCGTGCGACGGCCTGCCTGGAAAACAGTTTGTTTTGCTGTCTTTGGGCTCTAATTAAGACGTGTTCAATCCGAGCCCCCTGGCTCCCCTCTCCCCCTGCCCCCACCCTGCTCACTGTGTCACAGACCGGCGATCAGACGCTTTCAGATGGTCCAGCCCATGACTTTGACCTTCTGCGCGGTCCGGCGTTCCCTGGGGAACCGTTCAGCTCATGAGGTCTGATTTCACACTTCCAGGATGCCTCGGCTCTCCGAACAATGACAGGGAGACAAAGCCCTTTAGAGCGGGCCGCATGGGGACTTGTTTAAATTGGAAACTAGAGAGGAGTCAAGGAACAAGGTTACAGGCTACAGAATAGTGCTTTTAATAAAGAGCTCACAGCTCTGGTTCAGCTCAAAGAGGGCTACCTCTGTACAATTAATTGAGACATTTATCTGGAGCATCTTAGGCCTCTACTTTCTCACAGAATTATGTGATAAATACCAGCTAAGAGGCAAATGAGATGTGCATGAAATGAATTTTTAACACTTTGATTACTGTGTCTCCAGTCTTCATTAGAAGTAAATTTATTTGTATTTCTGACCTCATTATTAATAAATTGTCTATGTTTTTTTTGGGTACCGAGATTTCAGATCCCAGTATATCAGACAGTTTTTACTAAGGAGCTCGGTGATATTTAGGTTTACAGTCAAAGGCTTTTCAGGCTTGTCCTCCTCTGAAGAACAGAAACTAAGCATAGAAAATAAGGCAGGTTTTTTTTTTTCTTTTTCAGTTTTATGTCTGGAATTCAGCCTCTCTTCTAAGAAAATTCCGTGTTGAAATTTTGATTAAAGTATGTGAAAGTAGGATGAAGATACCAAGATGGCTGAATGCGTGGAATGTAAATGATTTTTCTAAAATCTATTCTACTAAAACGCCCTAATATCCCATGTGCAAAAATGGTCTTTGAAATCGTTCTTCAAACGCTAGGAAATGTCAGAGTGATGTACACAGATGTTAAAATCACAGAGATAGGGAAGCCCATGCATGTAAAACTGAAGGAATAAATTCAGAGACCCTTTAGAAATATAGTTCCAGAAGTAATTTACTCTGTCAAATAGTACAACTAGATTTCAATGTACACTTGAATCACCTTCACAAAGTACAGAAGTCTACCAGGTGGGCAGTGTTCTATGGCAGATAAAATCTCACCTGGTCCTGCCGTATAGGTTACCTGAAGGCATTGGTCTAATATCGTGTACTGCAGAACTACTTTTTTTAAAGAAAGCAGCAGTTTTAGGAGTAATGGCAAAATTTAGATTTAAAATACATTTTTGGTTCTCTGTAGCATTTAGAATTAAATATACAGCAAAAAGATGACTTGTGATTATTATTTTTTTTTTTTTTTTCTGTAAATATTCTGCAGAAATGAGTTTAACTTGGTTGTGGCACTACACTGAATCGCCTGGTAAGATACCTTGTACATTTGTGATAGCGGTCCGTTGCAACATGGTTGCAGCAGCACTGTTAA